ATGCACATTACGCAGCACATAAGACTGAAGAAGGCCAGAAGGCTAACTATACATTTAAATAACTTAAGCCTAAGATTAGTGAGCAATGTGCTCCAAGAGCCTACACCATATCAGGTGGTAGTCAGTCAGAGAAGCCTGCCTGCAGGCTTACAAGTAAACCGCTTTTGTATTCAGGCCTATGAAGAACCCAGTACCCCTGGCACTTTACATCCTGACATTGCATCTACCTGTGCAATACCCCCTACTACTGCACCCCTGACTCTGAACCTTCCTTTCTCCCAGCATGCTGAACCTACACCCCAGGCACCTTTCTGCCACTGCTATTTGAAATATTTACACTTGCAGAGCATTTACTTCTTGCTTTAAAAGGGAAACATGTCTTCAGTTTGCCAAAGCAATGCATTCTGGGAAGGTTACATCAGCAGAGCATTGTTGGGAAAAGCATTTTCCTCCCCTGAGATGATGTGCATGGTCACATGACTAATCACATGTGCCAATTTTAAGGAAGTAAAAGGAGATCTGGTAACCTGCCCTTAGTAAACATGGCCACTGTCAAAAGACTGAGGAAGAAAAGAAAAATAAGGTATGTAAAGAATACAAAGCCGGCAATTATCTAGAAGTATGTGTTTGTAGATTGTCACTACTAAACATTTCAAGAGGTGCGTTTGTTGTTGTTTTAAAGATATGGGTAAAGGTCCGCTTTAAATGAATTTGCTGCACTTGAATAAAGTATCCGAGGACACCTTATTAATAGATCCCAGCTCATGTTGTCTAACTACAATAAACTTGCATCCCCCCACATTTGCTTGTATGTACAATGAGGATAGCCTTATTTATTACATATGGGGGGCTCTGATTCTAGCTTAGTAGAGCAGCAGTGTGAGTCTTTGAGTTAGATGTAATATGGCTGAAAGAATAAATATCTACACCTGTTAAAAGGTAAAATCTAGGCATACATATAAAAAAAAGCAATAACAAAAAAAGTTGGGTGAGTTAGCACATGGATTTGTCTTGATAATAGTCACCTGTATTCCCTGGCAGAAAACAACTCAGATGGGGGATACTATAGACCCATATGGCAATAGAAGCCATTTTCACATGCACTAAACACACATCCAGGAGAAGAGCACAGGGTAAACAGAGTGATACATCATCACTGTTCTCCTATTTCTTAACTGTCCAACCAGTAGATTGGGCACATCCTTCTGACCATGTTGCTCTATTACTGCAGTGGTAGATGAGGAACTGACTGTTCTCTCTGGCAGTGGTGTCTGGATAACATGACTAGGAAAACATTGACACGTGAAGACTATAAATGTTATATTTTCTATATTAATTTTTTTCCAACTTGTAATAACAGATATAGCAAATGTCATGTAAAGCTTATTTACAAATATATATTTAGATTTCCTGTACTAAAAGGACATTGTATAATGGTTACAAAACATAACAGACAAGTTGCCTTGCATACACAGAAATGTAGTTCTGGCAATAATTTAATGCTCTACTGTTCTATATGGTTTCATAAGACCCTGTTTAGATGCTGATGATGAAGGTGAGACCCAGTGGTTTCAGAGAGAGAGAGAATCCTAGTGTACATCGTCCCTAGAAATCTGTAATAAAGTATATCTGTGCATTAAAATATTTAGCTGCTCCACATAAACTCAGGGACTTCATTTAATTAGCTCAAAAAGGGTCATAAAATATAGACTTCTCCCCTCCTATGAATACAATATTATACTAGTGGTTAAAATAAGAACAGGCATCATCCGCTAACTTGACCTTCAAGTAACAAGCTTCAGAGCGTTTAGGAGAAACTCCTACCTCATTGTAAGGCCAAACAAATCTTCACTAATGGAATTAAGGCTGCTAAGAATCTGTATGCAGGTTGCGTCAGATGACCAAATGCACACTCCTGAGTTTTTTAGTTTCAAACAAGGCATTATTTACAAGACTTGAACATAGTAATGCTGGAGCACACAAACTCTTCCGAGAGGCTTTTAGTTATATCAAGTACTATGAAAAGAGTATTTCCACAATTTATGAGCTCTTGACTGACAGGCTTTTATTTGGGAAATTAAAATGTTTGCTGCAATGGGAATATTTGTCTAGGTAAGTATTGGAAATAAATGCTTTATGAAGTAAACCATTTTCTATTAACCAGTGCTGAATTTAAAGGACCACTAACCGGAAAAAAATTGAATTTTTCTAATTAGTATAATACAATATATTGCGGTTATTACATATAACTGTGTTATTACATTTACTGTATATTGTTTTGTTTTGTATTCTACATGCACGTATTTAGATTTTTTTATTTCCCTTTTGTTACACACACCCCACCACACACACACTCTCACACACTGTATGGTGTAATGCTTGTTTTGTCTAGGGAGATGAGAATAAGCACAACACCTAACTCGTTTCTTCTTCTCCATCAGTTGGGGCTCTTACCTGCTCTCCAACATTCCCAGGATGTGGGCAGCTCCTTGGGATCCTAATTTACAATGCAGGACTGCTGCTCCTGCATTGTATGGGATGATGTTAGCAGAACTGCAACTGGTTGCACAGTAAAAAGGAGGGGCTTCAGGGGACTGAAGAGGAGAAACCTTAAAGGAGAACTATGAGGAAGTGATTTCCACTCACCTCATAGTTCTAGCCGACCTGTGACAATGAGACTGTCAAAGGTCGGCTCAGTAGATCGGGAGGTGAGCGAACACATACCAGGGTCGCTCACCTTCCGATCCTGTCACGGCTCTCTGCCGTGACAGGGGGAGGGGCTGGATTCCCCTCT